GATATTTCTGTGGGATCCCACTGAGTTTTTCACATCCCAGCTCCTAGATTAATATCTCAATTTGAATTGTACCACATTGTACCCTTTCTCTGAAGTGCAGGTAGGCATTCCTTAATCTTCAAACATATTGTATACAAAATTGAGAACTTTATGTACCTCAGCATTATGATTATTATGGAAAACACCAGAGGAATAGGTGTAAAACAATGTAGTTCTGAAAGATACGTCACGCTAGTCTCAAGAAAACAATAAAATATCTATTTTTCCTTAATTATATTGTTAATTTCAGGAAAGGTATGAAATATAGAATATATACATTTTCTATACAATAATTTCATTTGCACCACTTTGCATTTTCTCTACAGTTAATATTTTCCCCTGCAGAATGTCCCTGTGACTCTATTTGTTTATTTAGTTGTTTATTTTATACACCACTCATCTCATCATCGAAAGCGACTCTTTACTTTAGATAATAACAATAGAACTCTAATCGCAGATTTGCTACATGAAACAAATATGAACTTAGATTTTGCTAATCACACTTTGAAACTATTGAGAAACATTGTGTTGCTATTGATGATAGTTGATGATAGTCTCCATTAAAATGATTAGAGCAGAAAAGAGACTGAAATCTTTATGTCAGTTAAGGAAATACTTAACTATCAGTGTAGCCGTTTTTGTAAATGTATAAATATATTCATTGGGTAGCACAAAGATGTTGAAGAAATAAATCAACATCTTTATAAAATATTAGACAACTCTATTTAGAAACTTTAAGAAACTCTTATTAAATAAGATTCCCAAAAGAATAAGAACTTTATTCTCTTGCTTTGCCTTGAAATATTGCATTCGCTTTTAAGTCTTTTTCTCATTGAAGAGATATGAGTTCATTTATGTGTACAACAATTTATATACCATGGTGTCCACTGTGAAGACTCTAAGACAGTTTATTACACCTAATGCAATATGATAAAACCAATCTCATTATGAGTAATCACGGCCCTATAAAAATATTTCATAAAGGTTAATATAACAGCAACCACAATAGCAACAGCAACAATAATCCTATCAAGAACAGGGCTTATCTCCACTATTAGCAGCCAGGTGCACAAAAGAACAGCATACTTTGGTTGGTTTCAGTTTGAGGATCTCATAAATGTAAGGGGGGGACAAATGAGTCCCTCATGTGCAGCTACAACTGAGAAGCCACCAGTTGTGGCCACCATCTCGCTCACTTTATATAACGCAGAAACTCTAAACTTTCTGCCTGAATAAAAGTGGACAGGAACTGTATGTTTAGAAAAGATGATCCTATATATGGACTGAGCCTTGTAGGCTTTTATATGTAATCTCCAGCACTTTGAATTGGACTTGGAAAACTGTTGATAACCAATGCAGTGATGAAAATATTGGTGTGGTATGCTAATTGTGCTTATGCCTATTGGCCACTAGGGATCTGTGTTTTGGGCCTACTGTGGCTTCTCAGTTGTCTTTTGAAGAGTTGTCTTCAAAAGCATACCCATGTAGAGTTCTATATATTTTAGTAGTCCAGTCATTAAGCATCAGATTACACCAGGAAATCTTGTTGTTTTTTTCCCAATTGCTCAGCTGACATTTATTTACCAAAAAAATAAAGTAAGTTCTAGCCACTAATGTGTCAATTATTCAAAGGACATTTCGCTTTTGTTAATTTTAAAGACATATTGTCCATATATGTTAAAAAAATCTCATATCTAGAAATGATCTCTTAGTCAAAATCTGATTTGAATAAATCAGTAAGAATGCAACTGTTGCATAATGAAAAGTATTTAACCCCATTCCCAAACCCATATTTGATTCCCAATTCTATAATTCCTACTGAGTTTAGTGGGAAATTACCTGAGAGGAAACCAGTGTAAGATTTCAATATAAGAATCTTCAACATGCAAAAAAAGTAGCAGATGTATAGACTGATAATTATTTTCAGGGATTCCCAATATGGTCTGATTTGCAAATATGTACTCCTTGGTAAAGTGTATCTGTAGTCATAGTTTTCTGTATCATCTTTTAGCTTTCAGTGCCTAATGGTTTAAAAATGGATTGGTTCATTATTATCAATATGCATGCTAGATGTTCCACTTTTTTTCAACTAGAAGTAATGAGTAACTCCTACCTTAATTGCAGGTTTTTTAACCTAAAGAATAAACAGTACTGAAATAACTCAACATGTACTAATGAAGGTGCCTTGGCATTTTTGTGAAGTAAATAGATAAGGTCCATCCAGCTGTGCTCTCTTGTGGTTGCTACTGCATTATCAAAAAACTGAAATGGCATAGCTGTGTGATGGCTGAGATACCTTTAGTTGTTCATTGTACTAATCCATTTCATTCTGCCATCCTGCCGCCCATTTCTATGCTGCATATCTGTATTTTCATTGTGTTGCTCTCTTTCAAATGAAAGTGTAGAAAATTGACAAATGCAGTTCTCCAGGAAATAATAAATATTTTTGACTATATTTTACTACAGCTTCTGGGTTCTAAATTCGGTGAAAGAAATATTTTTCTATAAAGTTGACTTTTCAATTTTCAAAGCAGAGAAAAATAATTGTTTTTCTTACCTCAAAAATGTTTATTTTCTTGCAGTCATAACTAAAATACACAATGGAAAATTACCGGAAAAGTGACATTTCCACCCCTAGGCTCTCTTTATTATCTGTCACATTTTAAGTTTCTCATGAATTTTGCAATACAGATTATCAATATTAAATTTAAGCATATAATCAGATATGTAAGATCATCTTAAACGGGAAGTGCAAATTCACAAAGGCATGCAGATCTGGATTAATAATGTATCATAAGCAAATACTGTTAACATAATTAATAAATGCACATATAAAAACATGGTCATGCAAGTTACACTCCATAGAAGTTAAATATTCACTACATAAGAAAACATTATTGCAGACATATACTGTATTTCACTGTCAGGAATGCAGTTTGCAGGAAAAATACATTTTGCAGAAATTTTTTTTTTTTAAAGCCTAATACAGAAGCAAATATTGGCTCTTTCCAAAATCTCATTTCATTCAAAGAATTCCAGTAAAGTAATAAATATTTGGATAAAATATACAAAGGTGTATTAGAAAGCAACTTCCTTAAACTAAACAACAAAGCAGCTCAG